CAGATCCATGGAGTCGATAATAGAACAGCCATGTTAAACTATGCAGTTGCCGATCCCCCATGCTATGGAATTAAATATCACCGGCAAGGTCCTAAAACTGCTAGCGATAGCGGGCAGCTATTTTGAACCCTGCTCAATATAGTGTTTACTGTTTACATATCATCCTGGCAGCCCTGGCCTGTTTTCCGTACTTAATATCATTATAGATATTTTATTAATAATACTGACATAAATCACACGACTAGATTTTACGTTTATACACATATCAACGGCCTGCCCTGGGGGTACACCCCCGGGACACCCCGGGACTTTGAAAAAACATGATTCTAATGCATTAATTCTCCCTCCCTCCCCGGGAAATGTGTAAGTCAAACTGCCCTCCCCCTGGGGCTTAGAATAAAGTAGTTCATAATATAATATAAATGGCATACAAACAATTAAAAATTCAGGGTGTTAGCTAGCCCATATACTGTCCGTCCATTTGACGGACTCTTCCCAATTGAAGTAGTTAAGGGGCTTTTCCATTAACTATTTTCTCAAAATGTTTCGTGTTTCATTCATATTGGGTGTGTATTCACTGAAATGAAATGTACAAAACAAAGTGCCTCCATCGGTGTGCATCCGTGTTCAAGTCACTGTTGTTTGCATCTAAGAAGAAACACGTTGGAAAAAACACTATTTATTCCTACACAAGGACTTTGATCGGTCAAAAAAATTTTTATCAATTTACGTTGAACGGACAAAACGTTTTTTTCAGGCTAACACCCTGAAATTATCATACAAACTGGGGTATCACAATGTATTCCGTATTCTGTATTTATTTATTCAAATTTTAGCAAGACCACTACAAAATATCATAAATAATAAGTTGGCGATCGATATTTTTCTCCGTGAGCCTGCGATTTTGAGTTCGCACAAATTGTTCACTTCATTTATAAAATTCAAATTGTCACATCAAAGTCCCCTACTTCCCCTCCCCCCGTCGTCCTATTATTGCGAAGTTTGTAATTTCCCCGGGGTTCACGGGCAGAATACACGGCTAAAATACCAAATTCCCCCTCGTTTCCCCCCGGTTGTCCCGGGGGTGTACCCCCCGGGCAGGCCGTTGATATGTGCATTAACATTCGCTACAAATCAGGGTCTTAGCTAGGATTTTAGATCTTGGGCGTGTTTCTAATGACCAGGGCGTGCACATGTCAATTACCTTGAAGAACAAAATCACGGTTCTAGTTATGCTCGCGAACAATAATGCTTGTGGTTGTTCTATGCTTTGCAACCAAATACAAGGTGAGCATACGCTCATATTGCGCACTGACATTAAAATTCAGCAACCCTTGAGGGTATTTAAAACCATTCTAATACCATTATCCATCAAAATATTAAAACATCACGAATCACTTTTGCCAATTCAACAACAACAGTAGATTTTACAAACTTTCTTACGACGTAAATAGGAAGAAATTCTGTCTGTTGTAAGTACTGTAGCACCTTATTTTATTAACCTACACGGCCTTATATAAATAATGAAGACGCGTTCATTTTATCTAGCCGTGTTTTTCCACTTTTGGCCGCGATAACACGGCCAACACGGCCCTCTAGCTAAGACCCTGCTACAAATGTTTTTGATGTTAATACTCTGAATGTACATCCACACCGGGCAGGCTGAAAAGTTAGCCGCGAGTATCATCAAAAACATTTATGGGGTCATTTATATATTCACCTGAGGCGTAAAAAAAAAATACCTGTGGTTCCGGTTCCCGACCGACCCTATTTTTTTCTGCCGACCCTATTATTTTTTTCAACGCGATTGACCGTGCGACCCTATTTTCTCCAGGTGGTTGCGGGCTGCTCATACAGCGTGCCATAATGGCGTCTGTTGTCACACTAATTATTGAACCAAATTGCCTAAATTTGTCCATAGGGAATATGCATCTCTAGTTAATATTGATGTTGGGACTCTACTGCAAATCGCCCAGCAGAAAACAGCCAAAACCATGAAAAATATATTCAAAAAAAAAATTTATTTCCGACCTACCGACCCTAATTTTTTCACGATATGAAACCGGAACCACAGTATTTTTTTTTACGCCTGAGTACATAACATCAAAACACACACAAAAATTCACTACAAAATATAAAATATTGGATAATATCTTACTAGCTGTCTTGCGTAAGAATACTTTGCATCTTTAATTAAACGTGCCTCATATCATCTATACAAACAGACCAAACATTAAACAACTAAACAAGATTCACGACATGAAATTTTCATATAGTTCATTTTTACTTCATCTTTTTCCCGCTCTTTTTGCTCTTTAAACTTTTTCAAAGGCCTGGACCCGAGCGGCGTGCTCTGTCAAAAGCCTGGGTTCTAGCGCATCCGCAATACTTCAGACCCGCGGTAACACCACCTGTTCCCTGAGCCTGCGGTCCTTGGGAAGGAACCGAAGGCTCTGGGATAATCCGTTTCAGGGAGGAATCTGATTGGCCGTTGATATGGAATGGAATGTAGCAATAGAACGAAAATTAATTATTAATCGTGTAATTTTATAACAACATGGCTGCCGTTTAAGAGTGCGTTAATATTGTTTTGGGATTTCAGCGACGATTTCAATGCAGTTTTAGCAGTGCTAAGGTAAATTATCTTTTGTAATTGTACATGGAAAATATAAAGAAACGTTGTATTTTTCACAATAGTAAAATAGGGCGTGAAACTTTATATAAATTTGTCATTCGTGTTGTAAAATACACCGAGGCGACCGAGCTATTTGCCTATTATACTAAACTATCTGCCTTACAAGTTATATTTTGGAACTATCTTCCTCAATAAGTAGTCTGCATACTTGTGCTATAATTGTATTACAATGGATACAAATTCATAAAAACTATATTAGCAATATTTTAATATTGCACTGTAAGCTTCTTAGAAAGAATAGCTTTGTAACAAATATAGCAGGGCCAGGCTCAGATATTGATTTGTTTTTGTTCCCCAGATCAAATTTGGCTATTCTGAATAAAACTGCTGGTATCAGAGCACTCTTTGGTAAACAACAGCAAATGGATTGCTCCCAAGAAACACAGACATACTGTATGCATGGTCTTTCAAGTAAAATCCTAGTGAATCAAGATATGATCTGGAAAAGTCTTGTTCTATCTTTTTGTCCATGTTGGTGAAAACTTGTGCACAGTCAAGACAATGTATTTTTGGCATAATGAAGCAATTGCCCAATGGCATCATCTTGTTGAATCACTTAGATGTAGTCTGTTGAAATATTAAGCAAAACTTCAAAAGATTTGTGTACAGTGAAGCTGTCTCAACATAAAATTCATTTATATTGACAGTTTTGAAGTTTGCCAAGTTATTGGCAATATAAGTATACACTAGTGAGGTGGCTTAAATACAAAACCTCCAGGGTTATAAATAAATGTTTTGCAATAATGATGAACATGTAATGGTAATAGTGGTTTAATGTGCAAATTTATTTGTAATATTATTGTATGTAAAATTTGCTTGGCAGTGCTGCACACCTTCTGGCTCACCTTCCCCCTGGATTTTCGGCACCCCTCCAGTGCAAAATCTGAAAATCTGTCTGGTTCGAGGGCATGCTCCCCCAGGAAATTAAGAAATCTGAGACCGTTCGACCCCCAGAAATGCAATCAAATTTGCTAGCTGAATAAAAAAATAGGCCATAGCTCATAAGAATATGAACAAGGCATAATTGTAAAAATATTAAAATGTGTTAGCCTATGTAGCATTTGTTGCATTAAAATGTTCAATGTATTGTTACAAAGTTGTCGTATATGTCAGATGTTATGTTTGGCACACTTTACCCACCCCCTACATTTTCATCGGAATTAAGCATCTCCCAAACATAGTCATAAGGAGGGGTTGCGCCCCCCGAATGCACCCGTGATTACCATCATTATGCCTCTACCATATATATGACAGAGATTTATTGGGAAAATTGTATATATTTTTAATTAACTTGTTTGCCAAATTCTTCAAATTAAAGTATTTCTAACATTTCAGCAGCTGAACTTAAAACACAGTCATCACAGCTACATTTCTGTTGATGAAAATCACAGCAAGTATGCTCTGGTTTAATCTTCTTTGCTAGTTTGTAACCAAAGTAATTCAGAATTATTTTCCTTTTGCATTTATCTGCCACAGCTACAAGCTCTTTCATGTGGGGTCAAATGTTACGAGATGATGCTAAATTATATGAGTTGTAGTATATTGTGGAAGATGCTGGAAGTCCATCTCGTCCACATCTACCAGCTTCTTGAAAATACTCCTCAATTATATGAGAGACTCCAATATGAATAATCCTATGGAGGTCATGGACGTCAACACCAATCCCTAAAGCCACAGTGACAAATAGTAGCCTTAACTTGGACTGACCACTTACAAGATCCTGTACAGTATAATCCTTTCATGTTCTGGATATTGCATGTGAAACTGTGTGAATAGTCTGTTAACTGAATGTTTGCTAGATTAATTGTACTGGTTCATATTGCAAAGGCCCAATCATATTGCTTGCAAACAAAAAACATTCTCCAATAACTTGCAAGTTGCCATAAACTAATGTCAGAGGGAAATCGAACCATTTTACTTTTAATTCTGCAATCAGAGGAGTTAAAGGTTGAAGGGTCCACTTGAAGCTTATCATCCTCTCTACCAGGTCTTGGCAAAGAGCTGAAGAAGATATTAGGACGGTCAGGGCTTATTTCAATATGTTTTGGATTATACAATTACTTTATGGTTTCCGTGTTTGGATGGCCTGATCCAAACACGCAGGAATGTTGCGAGAGTTAAGAAAAGCGAGCGAAAGCACGAGCCGAAGGCGATTTGATTTTGCCCGCTTTTCTTAACTCGAGCAACATTCCCAAGTGTTTGGATCAGGCCATCCAAACACGGAAACCATAAAGTAATTGTTTTATAAAATAACAACAACACGATAGTCTTCCGTGTTTGGATGGCCTGATCCAAACACGGGTTTCGACCAATCAGAACACGCGTTATATACATGTTATTTTATAATGATCAATCCGAGACTGGTTGTAATATCCTTTTTCATCTGCACCGTGGCAGTTGCTGTCATTGCCAAAAATGGGATCTTGGGAAAAATACTTGTCAGCATACCAATTTTCCCATAACAAGGTCTAAAATGTTTTCTAAACAAGAAAAAGATATGTTAATGATTAACAAGTCCAGCTGCAATGCACCAACATCATGCTTCCTACTCTTTTACCCATTGAGTAAGCCAGCACTCACCACTTGATGAGTAAAATTGTCTTACATTATTAGACCACTTAAGGGTTAACACCAAATATTTTACTCAAATAATTATGATGTATTCTCCACTCTCCAGTACTATCCCCTCCGACCCCATGACTATAATGCCATATGAGTAAAATCATATGGCATTAGAGATCATTAGACAGTCAAGTAAAATAACAAAGTAAGGTGCAATGCAATTTAATTGGTTAATAAATATATTGATATAATTATTACTTATTAGTCGACTGGTCTCCTCGGGAGACATCCTGTTTTGTGGACCCTCAACCATCAATGTTTTCCAATGGTGGTTGAGGGTCCACATAACAGGATATCTCATGAGGAGACCAGTCAATAAGTATTTTATTTTATAGCAAGTTTCAAAGAAAAGAAAACTTGTTTACTTGATTTTGTAAGAAACCAATTTTATTGTCATACCGACTCACAGTTCTCAAGCAGAAAACAATGTAAACAACATAACAACATGTACATGTGTGATTTTTTGTTATTCACCCCTGGACACAATCTTGTTCCCCAAGCCTGTAATCCTCACGAAGGAATGTGAGCCTCTGGGAAAATCCATTGTCGGAAGGCAGGAATCCTGGCTAAGACCGAACTGCACATTCCATATCAACAGCCAATCAGATTCCTCCCTGAAACGGATTATCCCAGAGCCTCACATTCCTTCCCAAGGATTGCAGGCTTGGGGAACAAGATTGCCCTGGATAATAGGTTATCTCCCTGCCGAGCATCTGTGGAGTCTCTCCGAGGGTTCCCTGCTGGCTCCGGTGCTCTAGACACCTCTGCTCACAGGGAACTCCGAGGGAGACAGCTTAATTTCTTGACTCTCACTTGACATACTGTACTCTTGACCAATAAAACTATAGGAAAAGTGAACTTTGAAACTTGCTATATAATAATAATAGTTCAGGCTCAGTCTGAATGGGTTTTTTTTTTACATGTTTTGCACTTAAACCATATTATAATTTAAAACTCAGTACCATATATTAAAATAAAATTCTTACCATTCTTCCACTAGATGTGCTTCGTCAATCACAATAGCTTTAACAGAATCTTGATATGATTTTATCTTCCAATAAGGCTTCTGGGTGAGCAAATATTATCTGACTTGGATTAGGCTGATTAGCAATCTGATGATAAATAGAGCCCCTCTCCGATCGCATGCTGTGCTTTGGTAGCGTTGTTTCCCTGCTGGCCTTCAAAGTTCAAAACACTAACATCCATGTGTGTAATCTGATCGACCATATTGGCGAAATAACAGTTACTGAGTTACCAGTAGAATTCGTATTTTCACGACATGAGTGACTTTCCATGGCCAGTAGGCAACTAGACGCAAAATATGTCCTTCCGATCATTCAACAACTAGTACAGCCTTCACTGCTTCGTACTGACATTCCTTTAGCTCAATATTTTGCTTACCTAGTCGCTCTAACGCTTTTTCCAATCCGTTATGAAATAAAGTAATACTTTCTGCAGACATTTTTATTTTTTTATATATTTCAAAACCAAAACAATACAAAATAATACTATTCTGACACACGCATGCGCAGTTCGGTCTTAGCCAGGATTCCTGGCTTCCGGCAACGGATTATCCCAGAGCCTTCGGTTCCTTCCCAAGGACCGCAGGCTCAGGGAACGAGATTGCGGTAACACATATGAAAGCAAGATGGCGGATATTTTTCATTTATTGTCTGAATTTTAAACTTCAATATATTTTATTTAATACATTGCCTTTAGCATTTTAACTTTATTAAGATTTTTATCAGTATGGGCGAGGAAGGCAACAAGTCGGAAGAGGTATCTAGTAGTGTTTTAATCTTTGTTGCTTTTCTATAAAACATAAAAATCCTGAAAACTAAAAATGTTTATACATGTATAATTTGTAGGTATTATTTTCATGTTCTACCCATTGTCATTATTTTCAGGAACACACTCGACTGACTCAAGGTTTAAATTTTCTTATTTCAGCAGACAGGGAGATGGAATTTAGAGCGAGAGACAGAACTAAGGTTTGAAGTTCCAGAAGCAAATGACTCTCAAGGCAATACTTCAGCAGAATTAGTTGTATGTGTAAACTGATGTTTAGTATCCACAAATACATTTTGTCTCGCTTTGTGGACTAGTTCTAATCCATGATTATTAAATAATTGGGATAAAACAGACTTTTCTTTGTGCAAACTAGACATTAAAAAGTCTGTGAATCACTGTGATAGGGGCTGGGGGCCAAGTGGGGGTGAAAGCAACCACTGAAAAGTCTTTAACCAGCATTTGTGGTGTTGTGGCCACCACACTTGCCTTTCAAATTTTAAGACCCTCTACTCAGGGTCTTAAAATAATTGAGGAGAAACTAGAAAGTGCTACATTTACATTGACATCAATAAATGGTTAGACTTTCACGTCTTCTAGAATAAGGATAGTAAAATTGTAGGTACCTCGATCCCCTATCAACTGGAGAAACTTACTTAAGTGTGACAAAATCTATTTGTCAAGAGTCTCTTAATAATGTTTTATTATTTTGAACTTGTTGTTTTTTAGTTTTTGTCTTTATTCAGTGTACCTGCATATTGTAACCAAGAAACTACTAGTCATGCATTGGTGTGGCAGTGCTTGGCTACATGATACAGCTGAGGGAAACTTTAATTTTACTACATTGTATTTTAGTTATTAAAGGGACAAGCAGAAATATTTGGCACAGAATTGGTGTTGCATAAGAAGTTTCATTTTAAACCCGGTGATAAAATAGCTGTGTTTACATGGGATGGCTGCATTGTTGAGATATCCTTTTCAAAACAGTTTTTGCTGCCAGGTGTTGTTTGCAGGGCTGCAAATTACTGTCATACATCGGACAATGTCCGACTAAATTTGGCAAATGTCCGAGCAAAAATATAGTTTTGATCGGACATTGGTCCGATCACAAAAAAAAATTGTCACATTATGACATTTTTTGCTGTGAGAAAATACGATGCAAATTCACTCAATTTGCATTTTGCAATAAAATTTACAAGGCATTCTAGCATTTTATTTAACGGTATACATACTTGTGTCGTGACTTATATATATCTTGTGACGTATATATGTCCGACCAAATTTAGTGGTGTTGGTTTTTGTCTGACCAAATTCAAGTTATGTCCGACCAAAATTAAAAAGTGGTTGGACAAATGTCTTGTCAAGTCAAATATTTATTTGCAGCCCTGTGATTGACAACTTGACGTGTGTGTGTGTGTGTGTGTGTGCATGCGTGTGTGCTGTGATAATGTTTAGCCGGGTAGCCCATTCTGCTGGTAAGAGGCTGGTTTAAAATGGTTGGCAATCAGTTAAATAACTGATTGCCAACCATTTTAAATTAAATGAAACCAGCCTGATTAATTTTATTCCGCACTGACATTTTGACTGTTTATAAAGCATAAAAAACCAGAGAAGGAACACAAAACATTTTCTTGGCTTTGCTGTGACAAACAACAAGTCACAAGTAATGAGTCATGTGATTAATGATGCCCCTATTGATGATGCTGATTAATGATGCCCCTCTTGGATTACCCTATTTAAATAAAAGTTTCTATCTATCTTTGTCAGTCGAATGTAAATATTGAAAAGTTGTGCGATCATTCTTAACTCTGTGTCCAAGCAACTGCACAGTTAATAGCCTGCGAGCAGGCTCTCTGGGTGAAAGAGAGCCTGCAAGTATCCCTATGATGATTGTGTGTCGCCTTTCAATTAGGATGTCACAGGTCAATTAATAACAACCAATCAGCGCAGACCGGAAATACACTTAAATATTGTAAACATAAACCGATAAACGTTGAACTCCATTTATATTAATTGTATTCTTTCGTTAGTTTTGTATACAGACCGCCACTGGGCATACTAAAAAAGTTAAAACGGCTTGAGATTTTACAGTGTAATATATCAAGTTGTACTTTTTATTACAATCTGCATGTGTTTCTGTAGGCACAGTAAGTTTAAAGTTGTATTATTACCCACTAACTAATTCAGTTGTTTGGAATTGCTTCATGCTGCAATAAATATATATATATACTGTATATATATCCAGTATAGTAATAAATAAATATAACTGCAATAAATATATATATCCAGTATAGTATAATATGATATACCATGGACATTGGACATAATTTAATATGTTTATAGTTCAAATTTTGCAACAAAAGGTGGAATTACAGTATTAAACGTGTATGTGATACTGTAATTATTGTAAACAAAGTGACGAGTAAATTACTGTAAATTTTAACGCCGCATACTTATAAATATTAAATAGTCAGTATAACATTGTAAAACAAGCTTAATACAAACAATTAATATGCACTGAATATTATCAGAATAATTCTCAATATTGTTTCATGAAAGAGAAGCGATATATAAATGCCTTGTCCCTAGGTTTCGGTCTGCGAATTTGTTCAGTCTTTTCTTAGCCTAGAAGTCAGACAAGCCCAGGACACAATAAAGCATGCAAGCTTTTAGTATTCGTCTTTATATGAATACTATATTATTTTACTGTAAAAAGTCAACAAGGATATAAAATACAAGACACTTTTATCTCTACATTGCTGCAATTCCGAAGCTTTGCGTTGGTCGGTTTTACAAACAGGAAGTGTAGTTTATGGAAGCTTGTCAATCACTTCATTTGAATCAGTTATCAACCAATCAGAGCTAATATTGGACGCATGCACGTAAATATCATAGGGATCCTTGCAGGCTCTCTTTCATCCAGAGAGCCTGCTCTCAGGCTACAGTTAAGTAGACATTTGTCAGACCCAAGTGAAATAATCTTCACTGCCCAGAGAGGCATTATTAGCTATTCAGACCTCTGAGTTCAGGTTGGCAATAATGGCAAATGTTGACCGGATTGCCAACTTATGTCAGGACTGCAAAAAATTGCAGACTTGCAATTATGTATACTTTGAAGAGCAAAAGAGAGAGAAGAATCTTTAATGAAACCCCTAACCTAAAATCATTTCACTGCAATATCATATAATACCAAAATGTCAGACAAGAGTGTTGAGAGTTTCTATAATTCTTTAATTGTTGATGAGTAAAATAATCTGGTGTTAGACATAATGAAATAGGGTGCATTCAGTGCCACAGTGCATATTAACGGGTTACGAGACACATGGCAGTTCGATTTTACTCCTTTGAGTGCCAGCACTTTCCTGTTGATGAGTAAAACTGTCTGGCATGAGGCAGTGAGAGTAAAGTCTGACTCGTTCCCAGACGGGACTGTGGAAGAGTCAGGAGTAAAATAACAAAATACAGTCAACTAAGGTGCAATTTCATTTAAAGGATTTATCTGTTTAAATAATGAAGATTTTCTGTATAACAATGCAATGGCAGTGGCAGACACTAGGGGAGGGGGGGGGGGAGCCCCCTCCTATAAATTTGATAAACTGTAAAAATCTTGTACCAAATAACACAAATCACACTCATATAAGTAATTATCATTTAATACCAATAATTAAAACATTGTAATTTAATACCATTAATTAAAAAAGTGTTTTGAAAACCACGTTTTTTATAAAATGTGTTTTCAGAATGCTGCAAATGCCATTTTCCGGGTCCAAATTTTAAAAATTTCCCGGGGGCATGCCCACGAGCCCCCCAATATTTTATAAAGTGTCCGCCACTGTGCAATGGTCTTTAGCGCAGTCAGAGCAAGTGCATTTCACTTCTGAGAATGTGTGTTTGATTCTTACCACAGACTCATGTGAGTCTGTCAACGCTCTGTTGAAAGTTGTGGGTTTCCTCCCACAGGGAAAGTTGACAGCGTGGGTTAGGATAAACATAATTAGGCGGAAAGTGATATGAAAGATAAATATAAGCAATGCAGAAGTAATGTTTCAATGAAAATGATATGATAGCATACAGTGCTGGCTCCAGAATTAACCAAAAATAAAGCCAGCAAGATTTGCCCAACCTGAAACAAAAACAGGTCAGCAAATATAAGTTGTCAACAAAATGTGCATTGCCGTGTCGCAATTCCAAACTATGAAACTAACATCAGATATATTAAAATGAGTTTAGGAATAAGATTGAAACATGTAAAGCCAAGCTCATTATACTTTGTCTGCTTTTCTCTTTGGTTTAATTATCTTTGTTCAAACTCGTACAGTAGGTTTGCAACTTTCTGTCGTCCTCACATGACAATAAAAAGTTAATATGAGAAATCTTTTTGCGCAATATTAGATAAAAATCTATTCCTTGACATTGTTTCATATCTCAGGAGTTGTTGATGGTGCATATATTTCAAGAGAGACACCAATGTTAATGTATCTTAACCTTCATGCTGCTCTTGATCAAATGAGAGAAAAAGCGAAAAAGAACCCTGGTTTGACTGGACCAAGAGTATGTATTAGCCTGGGTCCGAATGTATGAAAACCAGTTTACGCTATCCACCAGACAGTGATCTTATTAAGCATTTTGTAAAATGCCTGAAAGGCTGTGCGATGCGCACTTGGCCCACAATAAATATCTAAAAACACTTTAATTAAATTAATGCTAACCTACATGTCTCTTCTTTTGTCACTTTCTCTTCAGAATCTATCACTTGTACTCGTACAAATCAACAAAAATTATTTATACGCAATCTTTGCAGAACTTCTCTTTTTGTTGACTCTTCGGATGTCTTCCTTTGGAACAATCTTCATGTCCTTCAATGTACCTCTACATCCTTTTTCAAACGCAATCGTCACCCACTATTCTTCTAAACTTGAATCGACTTTTGATGAAAATTGACTGCGTACGTGGAAGACTTCTTGTTCAAAGTGCCTTACAACCCAAGTTGTTAGTCTTGTGGGTTGTGTTCATGCACGTTTAGTATTTGTTGGTTCTTGAAGTTGATTTGTCGTATATTTAATAATTATTCGCCGAAGACGAGGTAATTATCGGGGAATATTCACCGAGACGACGTCGAAGTGAATATTCCCCGATAATCACCGAGCCTGAGGCGAATAATTGTTTTAGTATTTTTACACAAGTCTTTTTTGTTTTTGGAACTGAATTTATTTTAATTTCGCCGTGATTATAATTCTTTATCTGTGATTTCCATAAAACGGCTAGTCGCCATTTTGTAAACTAGTTTTTACTGTTATATTCACCTGTGGGTGAATAATTCACCTGCATGTGGGTGAAACAATTATTCACCTGTGGGTGAATATAAAGAATATCACGTGAAATTTTACCAATCACTACGTCGGATTTCTTATATTCACATAATTCACTTGTGTAAAAGTACTAAATGTGTTTAGTTAAAAGGTTGACTGTATAATTAGTAAATATAAATAGTTGCATTTTCGCAGCTGTTCCTGGTTAGGTTTAATAAATGTATCTAAATTTCCACTCGATAATTTTCATCTACAAGAACCTTCAAAAGAAACCTTTAGTCTCGGTTATACCAATCAATATTTGAAAATAAATCAGTACTTGGTGGATAGCGCGCCGCCCAGCTTTTGGACAACCGGCCCAGGTTTACTTCATGACTTATATTTGAGTTCGTTTTTGCCAGCTTGTGATAACTAAATATACCTTTTTTAATTATTTTCCATTTTGAACATGTAGATCATGATAACTGGTCCAGGGGATGTTGGCAAGTCAACTCTGTGCAGAATACTGTTGAATTATGCTGTGAGACTGGGTAGAAGACCAATTTATTGTGATCTCGATGTTGGACAGGTTTGTAAATACACGCAGCTGTGAATTTTGAATCGACTCTGTGGTTCACATAGGGGAGATGTCATGTATATTAACAAATATTGACGAGAGGCTCGTTGTATGAAGGTCTGGTGCATGCGCCTCACATTTAATAAAACGAAACTTTAACTTATAAATACTAAAGTTTAATCCGGGTTATACCAATCAACGGATAATTTAGAAAGGTTGAAAAGATCATTATCCGGTGGATAGCGTTATCTACTGTAGTTTTCGCACAACCGACCCCATGAGTTCTAATATGGTTGCAGGAAATGAATATCCTTCTTGAACATTTTACTGCTTGCTGAATTCAGATCTTTGTTGTACATAAAACTTATAATTTACATTTTCACTTTTTATTTTAGGGATCCGTTTCAATTCCAGGATCAACAGGTAGTGTCTATTTCACTGTATCATGAAATTCTAATGGTTAAAATTACTTTCAATACCTAGCTCACTTTCCATCAAGCTCTTCAGGGTGAGGTTAATATTTATCTTTACAATCATAACTATCATATATGATTTGCTTAAGCTTTCGAATTCTAAACTACCCAGGTAAGGTGTAACGGCAATATCTGGAGAAAACTTTTACTTGACAAGGCCGATAACGTGTTGTTTTTAGATTTAGTTTTCGGAAGTACCTTTTCGCATTGGTATCTATGGGGCCTATTCAGGGTTTTGCTGAAGGTTTAGGATTGTGAGGGTTTCAAATGTCATCAGACTCAGTCAGCCTCCGAAAATGGAAGTGGTCCTGCGGATCGCAATGTAAAAAGTTGAACCTGATACTTCGTTAGTAATTGATACAGTGTATTTGTCTAACATTTCGGGATCGCAGTAATTGGCGCAAGCTGTTGTGATTGCCGTGTCAGTTTTTGTGTTAACGTTGCTTGAATCTGGCAAAGTTAATAAATTAAATTAAAACCATAACTTTGACAGAGCGTCTAATGACTACACATATTTGCATAAACTCTCGCATGCAACCTGCTTACAGCTTGAGTGTCTAAGTCAAGTACACAACATGAATTATATGGTGAGTTGTGTGCTTGATTTACACAGTACAACACAAATTGTAAGCAGGTTGCATGAGTTATGTGGTGAGCTGTGTGCTTGATTTACACAGTACAACTCAAATTGTAAGCAGGTTGCATGAATTATGTCGTGTGTTGTGTGCTTGATTTACACAGTACAACTCAAATTGTAAGCAGGTTGCATGAGTTATGTGGTGAGTTGTGTGCTTGATTTACACAGTACAACTCAAATTGGAAGCAGGTTGCATGAATTATGTGGTGTGTTGTGTGCTTGATTTACACACAGTACAACGCAAATTGTAAGCAGGTTGCATGAGTTATGTGGTGAGTTGTGTGCTTGATTTACACAGTACAACACAAATTGTAAGCAGGTTGCATGAGTTATGTGGTGAGTTGTGTGCTTGATTTACACAGTACAACACAAATTGTAAGCAGGTTGCATGAGTTATGTGGTGAGTTGTGTGCTTGATTTACACAGTACAACACAAAGTGTAAGCAGGTTGCATGAGTTATGTGGTGAGTTGTGTGCTTGATTTACACAGTACAACTCAAATTGTAAGCAGGTTGCATGAGTTATGTGGTGTGTTGTGTGCTTCATTTACACAGTACAACTCAAATTGTAAGCAGGTTGCATGAGTTATGTGGTGAGTTGTGTGCTTGATTTACACAGTACAACACAAATTGTAAGCAGGTTGCATGAGTTATGTGGTGAGTTGTGTGCTTGATTTACACAGTACAACTCAAATTGTAAGCAGGTTGCATGAGTTATGTGGTGAGTTGTGTGCTTGATTTACACAGTACAACACAAATTGTAAGCAGGTTGCATGAGTTATGTGGTGAGTTGTGTGCTTGATTTACACAGTACAACACAAATTGTAAGCAGGTTGCCTGAGTTATGTGGTGAGTTGTGTGCTTGATTTACACAGTACAACACAAATTGTAAGCAGGTTGCATGAGTTATGTGGTGAGT